GAATAATATCTATACAGTTCAGATAAAAAGCTTTCTACAGATTCAAAGCAGTCGCTTTCTGACCTGCTGTCTGTAAACAAAAAGCACACTGGGAACATGTTGTATATTAGAATTAAGAATTTTATAATCTGCCCTTTTTGTTGCCTAGCTTCAGACATAATTGGTGGTGAACTTGATATAACATATGTAACTCTTGATGGATATGGGAAATTACAGTAACTTTGATTATTTTTACTGTATATATTCTTATACTCTGCTTTAATCAGTGTGTGCCTTACTTGGATAAAACAAAATTCTCCATGAGCCTGTGCATATTTTCATTGCTGCTTTACTTCTGAACTCTGTTTACATAATGCAGTGTTATTTAAAACAATTTCTACTATAATTTGATTCATTTTCCGATTCAAGAATTAGAACAGACAGAGTCGGCCCTCCTTTCTGTATGTCAGTGTCTCTTTATCTATATGTATGTATGTGCTCTGTGTGAGTGTTTAAAAGGGAGCACTAAAACCTTTGCATATCTAGAATATTCTCGTTCAGAAAGGCTCAACTTTTCATAGCCAAAGTTTTGCATTTGTTTTATGAATAACTTTCAGAAAATAATAATCATTCTTGTAGTTTATTTCTGTACATCTTGTGCATACACCGAGTGCCTCTCATTTTCATTCATGTTCATTCATTAAAAAATAAAATATCAACACAAGTGAAAAAATTAAATACATGTTCAGTTATTGTGTTTATGGTGTTGATTCTTATATCATGTAGAAACACTTTCAGCTCAGAAATGCTGGCTGCTGGTCATAGACTGAGACGACGGACTTGACGGTCTGGGATCTGATGTTTCCCTTTTCCCTGGAACCTGTCAGGATAAACACATCGATCAATAAACTCATGTGAGCTTTTCTGTAACACAAATCACCGATCAGCAGCAACATTTGGGTAAATTTTATTTACCTGTTCAGAGGTGTGTGAAGGTTTTTGAGAGCTATTTCTGAAATATAACAGGAAGTCAACATTTAAAAAATGCTTGACATACACAACTGTGATATAAAATTAATTTCTTAGACATCTTACTTGGAACTCATTGAAGACTGTCTGTTAAGATGTACTTTGTCTGAACTCTTCTGATGTTTCCCCTTCCTATAGAACCTGTCAGGATGAACATAAATCAATCAATAAACCAGTTAGACTGAGTAAAATGTAGGGCCCAATTAAGGCCATTTTATGCCCACTGTGAAGTTGCAGCAGTAGAGGGGTCCCAGTGATCCCAGAAGCTATGCCTTTGGGTGCAATTTCCCCCTGGGTAGGGGGGAATCTTCAATATGACCTTTAAGGTGACGCAATATAGACTCAAAATTATTTGTACTATTTGCAGTTTGAACAGCTGTCGCAAAACAGTTATCAAACTCTACAAAGTACTGAAATAGTTCAGCTGATGCCAGGCAGAGAATTAAAAAAACCTCAACACAAGGTAAATTTATTCTATATATTCAAGTTTAATTCTATATATTCATACTTTTTAAATCACTGTGTGTCTTTTCTCCACTCCAAACCAGTTGAGGTCTGGCCT